AGTGGTAGCATAAGTGTTTGTTATACGGGCTAGAGCCTAAAACAATCGAAGTATGGGTGCTCAACATGAGGCCTGGAGAGCCACATCATGCTGGCCAAATTCTCACTGTTAAATCTTTCCAAAAGTATTCCAGCTCACTGATGGCGACTGCCTTTGCTGGTTTGATCCAAATGGCTACTATAATGGGAGTGGTAAGCAACTGACATCTGCCCTGACATGGCAACAGCTCCTCACATCAGATGAGCAGCAAGACAAATGGCAGGTCAGGCACTTCCCCTTATGAGGACTGTGTGGGAGTTGAGTGTTGCTGAGTGAAAGGACTGCAGCTTTGCTCCCCACCTCCACCCAACAGACTTGACAGCCCTGTAGCTTGTCTTAGAGAAACTGTAGGAGGCTGTATTCAAGAGACTATTTACACAAGAAAGCATATAATGACCCATTGAAAGGGGGCCAAATACATTTCAAAACACAGATATGTTGGCCGAAACCTAGAGTTGCCAACCTCCAAGTGGAGCCCAGAGATCTCCTGAAATTACAACCAGTTGCTGGACTACAGATTTCAATTTCCCTGGATACAATGGCTGTACTAGAGGGTGGACTCCATGGCATTATACCACTGAGGTCCCTTGCTCTGATCTCCCCAGGCTTCATTCCCAAATCTCCAGGAATTTTCCAAGCCACAGTTGACAACCCTACCCAAACTTGCTGAAGTTTGTTTGTTTGTTTGGAGGAAGTGCTATTAAAGGTATAATACAAGACATATTAGGTGCATGTTTTTAAATGTCCATAGAGAGATAGTAGACGATAGGAGTATATTGTAAATGTCTGGTTTGCAGAAGCCAATGTTTGGATGGGAAGGGGGTGGAAGGCTCTGTTGTGGCCCTTTAAAACTCAACATATTAGTGAAAGGAAAAATTTCTCATTTGGTGATGCAACAGAAGTTTCCCGTAGGTGGTATACTCACACACACACACACACACACCTTCCAAGACAGTAAACTTCTCAGCTGCATCTCAGGAGCTTGTCTTTCAGTCACAAGGTCTTGGGGTGCAACTGAGATCATTTCGGTGGCGGGAGAGACGTGTCAAGCACTTGCCCTCTGCACCTCAAAAATTGGTGGTGGAGTGAAGGGAAGGCTCTGTTGTGGCCCTTTAAAACTCAACATATTAGTGAAAGGAAAAATTTCTCGTTTGGTGATGCAACAGAAGTTTCCCGTGGGTGGTATACTGACACACACACACCTTCCAAGACAGTAAACGTCTCAGCTGCATCTCAGGAGCTTGTCTTTCAGTCACAAGCCCTTGGGGTACAACTGAGATCATTTCGGTGGCGGGAGAGACGTGTCAAGCACTTGCCCTCTGCACCTCAAAAATTGGTGGTGGAGGAAAGGGCTGTCAAGTTGCAGCCGACTTATGGTGGTCCTGTAGTGTTTTCAAGGCGAGAGACATTCATAGGCGGTCTGCCATTGCCTGCCTCTCCATCACAACCCAGGAATTCCTTGGTCTCCCGTCTAAATACTAACCAGGACCAATCCTGCTTAGTTTCTGAGATCTGATGAGATTGGGCTAGCTTGGGCCGGGCAGATCACGGCCCTCTAAAGTTACCTAGGATATAATGAAGGCTGCTGCAGTCATAAGGTGTCCCACTTAGCTCTTGTCAAGATCCATTAAGGGCCACATAACTGTTTGAGTTGTGTGTTATGTATTATTTGTGTAAATATATACTTATACAGTGTTAGGAACAAAAAGTTTGACAACAGGGTCAAAGTGCCATGTAGTGTGGGAGGTACAAGGTGTGACATAATTATGTAAAATTCAAATAGTTAAGCAAGATTAGAGGCTATTCACAACTGTGCTGTAAATGGTAGTGACGCAGCTGTGAATGCTCAAATGCAATTGCATTGCCTTCTAGGGGAAGATAAGTGAATAAAAACTTTTGTGAATCTTTAGTATAATGTAAGAAATAACCATGGAAGGATTTGGCAACCTTAAACTTAGTCAGTATTAAGTCATACTAAGTTTTTTATTGTGTTTGTAAAATATGACTAATACACAGCTAGTGCCAATATGATTTTTTGTAATATCAAAGTTCGTTTAGTGGTATCTATGTATCTCATACATTAAATAAGAAAAATATTGACATTCAGCTTATTAAACACGTTTATCTTAAAACCATATTGCATAAAGACTTTAAATTAGAAAATATACAATAGTCACAAAAATAGACATTGCAGATCAGCTTATGACATTATCTCTCCTTTATTATAAAGGAGTTTTGGGTGCCAGAATTCTAAAATTTTAGCTGAAGCTATAGAATACTAGTTTCTTAAAGCTTTGTCAAAGTTTTCTGTCTCTAACATTACAATTGAACATCTCTATCTCAAGATATTTGGCTTAATCTGTCTTCATTGATTTGACACAGAGCCAGACACCTCTGAAGTCTACATCTTCAAGGCCATCCCTTGTATTTTAAAATGTAACAGTAATCCTCTCTTGTCTTTGAGCAATTAAGTACTGTATAGTGAAACCAATATACATTTCAAGTTCTGCAAGTTCATTAATTTGCCTTTTCTGATGGTATCTGGCATTTATTATCTAGCGGGTTTTCTCAGTCACGCTACCATGTTCCTTGTGGAGGGGTGTGTGTGTCCTAATCTGACTAGCTGGGATTGTAAAATTGGAGCAGTATCAGCCTTCGTGAATTGTTGTTTGTGGAGTTATTGGGAAAGTGTATTAAAGTGTATTAAAATAAGCTTTGCCATTGCTGGCCCTTCTGTGTCCTAAACAATGCATTCAGCAACCCTAAACAGTGATGCATAGTAAAGCTACAACCCTATGCATGTTTATCGAGAAATAAGCCCCATTAACCGTGCATGGGTTTAGGCCAGAAAACAATACATTAAAACCAAATAGGTGTTCGGTTTGATTTGTATCTGGGTCTTTGAGTGTGAAGTCTTCTAAGAAAATTGACAGCATTTTTATTCTTATCTTCACCCCAATTAACAGTACATCAGTCTCCTGCTGTTGTTGTTTCCATTGATGGCTCCACAAGGCAGCTGCTGGGTGGTGCAAGCTTTTAGCCCCTTTCTCCCAGGATTCAGGAGAATTTACAGTCCTGGAAACCAAACAGCAAGGCATCAGGCGCTGTTCAGACACAGATATTGGAACAGTCATAGAACCTTCATATGATGCAGCAGGGGGAGACCCAATGGACCTTATTTATGCCCCTTATGATCTGCATACACACTTTCAAACATGACTCAATCTTTAGCGGCATATTGAATACTTTGGCAGACAAAGCGATTTGTAAATGATTGCCTGAAGGTTTGAAAAGCAGTGCTGTTTTGAAAGCTGACTTGACTTGCACATTAAAACTCCACTGGGAAGATGCATGACGGGGGGGGAGGGTGTTCTTTTTTTCCATGCAGCCAGAGTGGCAAGCAAGTTGTATTTATTTTATCTCACTTATTCTGTAGCTTTCTCACCAAAGGGGACCCAAAGTGGCCTGCACCGTTCTCCTCTCTTCCATTATATCCTCACAATAAGCCCGTGAGGGTAGATAGGTTAGGCAAAGAGGGTATGGCTGCCCCCAGGCCACCCAACAAGTTTCCATGGCAGAGCGGGGGTTTAAAGCTGGATCTCCTGGATCCTAGTTCAGCATTCTAACCACTACACCACGTTGGCTCTAACACTGACACTCTCTCAGCAGTTTGCTGTGAGTAAGAACCGTAAGAATTCAGGCAGCCTGTACGAAATGACAAAACAGTTCATAATCAGATTGGAAAAATGAGCCCCCAACTGTTGTCAAATCGGTTGATCATGAGAAAGAAACTTCAGCAGTGTGATCTGTTTTTTGCAGACTCCACAAAGAACAACTGCTGATGTCCAAGGCATGGCAGACTTGTTACAAGAGTAGAATTAGAGATTTTGAGGATGCCAGCATATTCTGTAGAAGTGCTGGCCTCTTCTACCATTGTGTACCAGACTCCTCAAATAGTTCTAAGAAATGTTGATCCTGAAGGGTTGTATGCTACAAAGAGCGTGCCCCCCCCCATGTGATGATTATTGTACTTTTTAAAATGTGAAGATCTGCAGCTTATAGTTGCAAAATTAAGTATAGGTATATAAATTCAATTATTTGAAGAATATGAATAAGGCTTTATCAACATCAAACCATTATTATTAGTTTTCCTGCAGACATCTGTTTAGCACTTTTCATGCTCCTAAACATGACATTTCATCTTGAATCCAGGGCATTGGGGAGCAGTCCCGTGTTAGGAGTATCTTTGTATTAAAACATGTTACTTATTCAGTCTGTTGCCAGTCATTTTACCTACTCTGAATGAGGGACAGGGAAGGGAGCTGGTGGAATGGTGTTCATTTTCAAGAGATTAAAACCAGGTCACCTGGCTGCTTTCCAGAGATCTGGCAGCAGTAGGTCCACTGGCTATTTGCCCTTCCTCATTCTTTTTATTCCAGTGCACTGAAACTTGAGAACAGAAACATGTAACACAGAGAATTACATTTTGACTGAAGGATTCTAAGTGCATATGTTCTAAACCATTGACAGTTCTTTAAAATGCTTTTGAGTAGTGTTTTTCCAGTTCTAATATTTCTACTAAAAAAAAGAAAGAAAAATCTTAGAGCAAGGACATTCTGATCTAGTGCCATGTGCCAAATTGAGTTGGCTGCATCAACATCCCCCCCCCAAAAAAAAGTACAGGCATATGCAGTCTCTTTTCATTACTTGCAAATGAAAATGCATTTTTACAAATAGCGATGCTCGCCTTATGGACTAGCCGCGAGGTGTTCCCCACCTGTGGCCTAAAGTTTTCTTTGCTACACTTGCTCTCCAGCTGTTTCAAATTTGGCCTTAGGATAGGCAGGCACCAGGTAAACAGGAGGAAAAACAGTGCATGCTGAAAACTATTTCTTGCAGGTCTGGGGTGGACTGGGGTTTAATTTTGCACTGTCACTAACATGGGGCTTCTCTTTTTGCAGAAGATGCAGACTACAGTGCCTTTGGAACGGACACCATGACAAGGAAGAAAAATGTCTTATCAAATGTATTGCGTCCAGACAACCATAGGAAAAAGCCACACATTGTAATCAGCATGCCACAAGATTTCAGGCCAGTGTCTTCCATCATAGATGTGGACATTCTTCCAGAAACACATCGCAGAGTGCGGCTTTATAAGTATGGAACGGAAAAGCCTCTAGGATTTTATATACGGGATGGTTCCAGTGTCAGAGTGACTCCTCATGGGCTAGAGAAAGTACCTGGGATTTTCATATCCAGGCTTGTTCCTGGAGGCCTGGCCCAAAGCACGGGCCTACTGGCAGTCAATGATGAAGTCCTGGAGGTGAATGGTATAGAAGTTTCAGGGAAGAGCCTTGATCAGGTTACGGACATGATGATTGCAAACAGTCGTAATCTGATAATTACTGTGAGACCAGCAAACCAGAGAAACAATGTTGTTAGGAATAGCCGGACTTCTGGCAGCTCAGGACAGTCTACAGATACCAGCCTTCCAAGTTACACTCCAAATACAGTGCCGCTCTACCAGCCAGAAGAGGAAGACAGTGATGAAGACGATATCATTATTGAGGATGATGGTGAGCCCCAGCAAATTCCAAAAGCTGCTCCTTCTAGTGAGAGTCTGAATTCGCTGACGCATACTGAAGCCCGTCACGAATTGATGCAAAATGGCTTTATTCCTTCTGGAGAAGCAAACTTATATTGTTCCTCGGGCAGCGTTAACATGGAGTATGAAATACAGGATTCGGACCGAAAGTCCTTAGAAGAAGATGGTACTATCATAACATTGTGAAATTATATTGATGGATTTTTGGTTGAAATAAAGAGGCCATAACAATTTTTTTTACGTGGCTATACAGCTGTAGTACATACCTCTCAGTTACCCTACTCCAGTGGCTGTTTTTTTCTTCAGAATGGAGTTGAGATACATACATTGTGATTTTCAGTATCTCTTCCTTTGGCATCTTTCTGGTTGATAAATGTTTCTGGAACATGAGCTGGTTCTTACACTTTCAAGGTAGGGTTGTACTCCGGTGACTAAAAATTCCAGAGGTGTATTCTGATGTCCGACTTTCAGTGAACTTCACAAACTTTGAAGCAAATTGTGAGATTTGAGAAGGAGCCCACAGTCCATGGGTTCTCCTGCAGTCTAGTCTGGTTGCATGCGTTGGCATTCATAAAACAAATCTGCACAATCATACCTGTGAGTGCTTTCTTTCCCCCTTGAAATCATGTGAGAACCAGCCTGGAGCAGCTTATTTGAGCATAAGAATGTTAATGAAACAAAATAGGCATGAGCTTACTGCTGTGTTTAGCTCTTCCTGTTCCAATCATTTGCGTAATCAGTAGATTATGAAAAGCTTAATGATAATGGGTTGATTGACTAAATATTTACAAAAAGATGAGAATTACCAGTTGCTGAAGTGTTTGGCACTGAATGGTATAGCTGTTCTTTTTTTCATAGTGCTTGACTGTATGTTATCTACTACTGGGGGTAATAAATTTCCATCGCCACATCATGTGGATTAGACTCATTAAAAGCAATGAAGTTGCTTGTCTTATCCTACCATGCATGGCTGTGTATATTTACCTTTTAATGAGAGAAACTGTGATCTTGAAATGTTTGACATGATCCAACCTGCTGGAACCAATAGTTAACTTCAGCAGAAGTGGATTATACCCATAACCTGAGTCTTAATTATCTTTTTATACCTTAACTGGCTCTTAATTTATGGCATTTTATACTGCTGTGTCTGCTATGGTTTGAATTACAAATTGCATTGAACTGCAGTATATCTAAATCAAACACAAGTGCTACTGATACAGTGTATAGCTATAGGGCTGAATACTCTTTTGTAGATGAAGAGGTCCATAAAGACAGTAACTTGTATGATCATAAATCTGTCCGGATTTGTTTTAACAGCCTTCTGTCAGACAGAAAGCAATCTTTTTATCAAGCCCTTAATGAAGGACATCTCTGTATTTATATTTCTGGCTTGCGCTTATACCCACCCCGACAACCAGTTATTAATGTGATTGAAGTTCATTTGTTTACGAGAGGAAATCGTTCAGCAAACAGATGCAGTGATTTGAATGCACATCTTTTCATCAGGGTTGAATGTGTTCAGCCTACTATGGATCTTAGTATGTTGTACTGTAGATGAGGAAAACAGCGGTCTCTTAGCTTGCTAGAAGCCTGGAAACCAAACGTTAGTGAAAGACTTGGATGTTAACTTATTGTGGAAACAAACATATTGGGTTATTGTGCTGCTTAACTCATTAACCGACTTCAGGTTTTGTTTTTGTACTTGTACTACTATCATATGCATGACCACTTTCATATTATACTACAACTACAAACGTAAGGAAATGTTATGTTGAACTGTTTTAAATTTTATTCCTTAAGTTAAGCAGATAGCTTTAACGCTGGGGTGGAGTTTAAGGAGTGCGTTCTTTTGTTTAAAAAAAGAATTTGTATACAGTACATATATGCACACATGTAAAACATAAAACAGTCTTGGCTTGAACCGGTTTTATGTCTAATAAAATTAAACATTAGGGATTTGACCAAATCTATGAACACCAGAGAGGGAGGGTAAGCAAAAGGCTCCCTGCGTTTTGCTATTAAAAAGACAGGCTGCACTGCATATTATTGCATGGTAATGCAGTTGCCTTGATAGGAAGTTTTGACAGTTTATCACTACCTTGTTTTTACTAAATATAAAATCAATTTGTTGTAACGGAATACATTTTAATTTTTATATATAAATGGTACTGGGCTTCAGTATAAGTCAAATTCTGATTATTAGATTTTCATATACTACCTCTTAGGCTTTTAACAGTGTGTGTGTGCGTGCGTGTATGTGTGAAGGAAGAGTTTCCAGTTGGGGGAATACATGAAGGCGTTGATGTGTGTACAGTTTTTAACTATAAACCCAGAACTTGCGCTAAACTATTTACATTTTTATTGCAGGTTCTAAGATTCCATTTTATACATTCTCAATTCTTGATTGAAGCTTACATTCATATTGTATGTATGGACTTGTTCGTCAAGGAATCAATTCTTTTAATGTTGCAGTCAGTACAAAGAACATAAAGAATTCAATCCCCCCCCCCCGGCAATCTGAAAACAGATTAGCCTTTTAAATGCACCTTATCAGAGGATTTGACTGGACAGCACAAGAGATCCATGACCAGATCTTCCAATGTTTTTAATTTATTTTTTTTAAAAACCAGTGGGTGCAGTGCATGAGGGTGAACTGGTGGGTTAGTGAAACAAGCAAGCAAAAGAAACATTGCAGCCCTGGTCCAAATAGTGGGCCCCTACAGCTGTTCTGAAAGAAGATTTAAGACCAAGGAAGATCCAGTTGTGGGACTCCTGCATTCCATCTTGTTGAGTCCCAAGAGAGTAAATTATGGTTATTACACTACACTTCCTTTGAAACTATTTTATAGTTCCAGATGAAGTCAGACTGAACTGTGAAATCATTTGTTCTTCCACAGCTATTATTATTTAGGAGAATGTTGTCATGAGCTGTCTGCAGTGTCTACTTTTGTGACTATTATGTGTTTTCTAATTAAAAATCTTTATGCAACATGATTTCAACATGAACAAGTTTAATAAGGTCGAATGTCAGTATTTTTCTTACCACTTTAATGTATGATGTACATTGGTACCACTAAATGAACTTTTGATTTTACAAAAATCATATTGGCACTAGCTGTATGTTAGTCATATTTTTACAGACACAATAAAAAAAACTGAGTATTGCTAATTATAAGCTTCAGTGTTTTATTGCATTGGCTAAAGGTTCTCAGAAGTTTTTGTTTGCATATCCTCCCCGAGAAGGCAATGCAATTGCGTTGGAGCAATCCCAGTGGTAGCCAAGGCAAAAGTAGCTTGTTAAGCTGTCTTCTGTCACTGGCCCAGTCAGGCTGATGAGCGGAAAAGGGAGCAGCATCACATGATGGGTTTGAGAATTCTGAAGCAGGGATTTCCAAGCAGACCCTGCAGATGGCTGAAGTGCTCATTGCCTTGCCTCTGTATTTCAAACATTTATATGCTGCCTTTTCTATAGCCCCCCCCCCCAAGCAGTTTACGAGTGACCATAGGGCTCACAACACAACTAAAGCACAAATACGCATCATTAAACACAGCTTCCCAAACAAAGTAATACTACGCTGTTCACAGTGGAGATTAATATGCTTTCTGCTTCAGGTATGTCCCTTTTAGGAATTACAGCTCATATTCAGACAACAGAGATCAGTTCCCTTGGAGAAAATGGATGCTTTGGTGGACTCTTATGGCATTGTACCTCACTGATGTCTTTCCCCACTTTTCCCCAAACTCTACTGCTTTTCAGTCTGGAGTAGCGAGTTGACTACTTTCAATCAGACTTCATCAAGACCACGCATCAATTGGAACCAAAGCCTTCATATATTAAATAAAACAGAGAAAACACCTTCAAGGGGGTTTAAACAGCTGCCTTGTTTCTTTCAGTTCGTCCAAATGGTTCTGGCCAAATTGCACTATTACTATTGGATAATTAAAATACACTGTTGAAATAGTCAGTATACATTGTAAAAACAGATTATTTTTGGCACGGTGTTGTATAATTTTTGCCACAATAGAGGGACAGCAAGTGACAAAGGCAGGGGTCGTTTCGTAGAAAAAGAGCTAGGGGGACTCATTAGCATATACCACACCCCCTGATATCACCGGAAGTGTGTCATAAGGCCACACCCCCTGACATCACCGGAAGTGTGTCATAAGGCCACACACCCCGCCCCCAACTGTCCCGGCCGCCACCGGCGGCCTTGCAGCTCCACTGCTGAGCCCCATGAGGGGCCCAGCGGTGGACCTGCAAGGCCGGCGGGGGTGCAAGGAAGCCCCGCAAAGGCCCTCCCTGGCCCCAGGCAGGCAGGGGTGGGGAGAGGCAGGGAGGAAGCAACTTACCCTCCCTCTTCTCCTGCCTCCTCCTGGCTGAATGAGGGCCGGAAGCGGGGCGGCTGGAAGCAGGGGGCGGGGCTTCGTCATGTGCTCACCCCGGGGGAACTGCGATCCCCCACGATCCCCCCGAAATGATCTCTGGACAAAGGCATGGAACAGGCCCAGGCAGGACATGTGGGTGGGGGAATGTAGTTGGTGCAGAGGGTGATCTAGATGCAGGGAGTGGGCCTTCAGATATGTCGGCCCCAGCCCTGGTCTTGAAGACCTTTAAAGATAAGAATCAGCACCTTGAACTGAATTCAAAAGCAAACAGGAAGTTGGTGCTTCAAAACTCCTGTGCTATGTGTGTAGCAGGTAAGTCATATAGACAACTGGTCACAGTTTGCACTAACAGAAGGTTCCAAGCTTGTTTTCAAGGGCAGCCCCACATAGAACACATTGCAGTTACAGTATGTCAGCAGAGTCCAGAAGGGAAGGCAGTTTCTGAATCCGGTGTGAATGAAAGCCTTCTACAGACACTTCCAAACAGTATTTAAAAAACGAAAACAATTTGGGCCCAATAGCACTACCAGACAGTTTGCCTGACCTGGTAAAAAGAGTTCACACTGTACGGGATAACCTCCTTCAGAACATCTGCTTTCTCAATTAATATAACCTCCGTCTTGTCTGGATTCCATTTCAGCTCATTCCCTTTCACTTACTTCAGCACAGCTTCTCAATTAAAATAGTGTTTGTTACAGCTGGAGGAGTGATCTGTCTGCTGACCAAATGAACACACAGAAGGGGAAGGTAAGAAGTCATTTTTTAATAGCAGTTTATACCGAAATGTTTCCTTGCTTACAGAAATAAAGGGGTGGGGTACCATTTCTTTTCCAGGAGTCTCTCTCCATCACTGGGTGCCAGTGCATACAAAGGCTGGCCTTGATTGTGTGTACCTTGTGTTGGGGCAGCAGGGACAGATTAGGGATCCTGCTGGTGTAGCATCTGTCCAGTTTACCAGCAGGGCCTCTGGCAGAGCTGACAGAGGTGGTGTCAGACTTGGTGCTGAGGACCCCAAGGATGATTGTCCTTGGGAATTTCAACATAGGTGCCAAGGCTGCCTTGTCAGATCAAGCTCAGGACTTCATGGCCAACATGCCAACTGTGGGTCTGTCTCAGACTGTAATGGGCCAAACACATGAGAAAGAACATAAGCTGGACCTTCTTTTCTGCATGAAGCAGCTTGGCCAGTGGCCTGATTAGGGACCTGCAAGTTTGGCCCTTGTCGTGGTCAGACTGCTATCTTCTGAA